GCCTTTAAAGTAAGGGGAGGTTTTAAGTGAGACTGAAACAGGAGACTGAAAAATCTCAACATCCGAAAAAGGAGAAACTTCTCAAAAATTTGTTACAGACTCTGAGACATTGGCAGCACTCTATTTCTGTGCCCGTGGTGACGCTGGTTTTAATAAACCATCCTAACTATTTGTGTTATTTAGACTCGCTCTTCTGATGTGTTTCTTTCAAATGCGGTCTCGTCCTTCCTCGCCTGGGCTGCTCTGTGAGGCCGAGTAGTGAGAGCGACTGGAGAATGTTTTCTTGCTTGAAATATTTCTTTTGGTTTGTTCTTTTTCCCGAGCATTGCGGTATTGCGTTGTTTTTATGGTGGCAGAGGTTCTGTGCCCCCAAAACTGAAAGCATGGAGTCACTGTATTTGGGAGGGGGGCAGGATTTGGTAGATCTGTAGCTGGAGGTTTTGTTGCCCTGTAGAGCTGGTGTGGTGTACAGCTATTTTTTGTTACCTGCAAAGTTCCCAACCCTGCTGTGGTACGGAAGAAGTCATATGAAATATAGCTGTGACAAATGAAAACTTAGTAACAAAATCTTCTATGTTGTATTTCTCTAGGCTTTGTATTGGCACTGGCAAAATAACATCCATTTATTTTAGTAAGATTTTCCTGATCTGTGTGAGCCTGTTTAATAGATAGATAGATAGTGTGCTATCAAGCTTTAATAAAATACTGTTTTTACATCTTGGAGGCCTGGCATACAGAGATCTGCAGTTCTTTGGAAATATTTTTAAAGATTTTCTGTTATGAATATGGAAGTGCTATGGATAAGACACCAACATTTACCACAGTAAATAATCTGTGAGGAAAGGAACACTGTTGGATCCTGTAATCCAAAGCCTCAGCTTTAATTCTTCTTTGCACAAGGAATGTCCTCCCCCTCTTGCCCTGTCTTTTTGATTTTTGGAAGTATTTGAAGGTTGCAGTTCACTGCTGACCCCGCTGCCCCAGCTGGGGCAGATGTGGAGGGGTAGGATGCTCTCAGTCCTCTGCTCCCTGAAGTCTGTCCCATGCCTGGAGCTGCCAGCAAAGCAAACCCACGCAGGTTAGGTGGGAAAGGGGACAGAGAAAGCTCTGTGAGGCCGAGACATTCTTAGTCGGCCTTTAGAATTCATTTGCTGGGGTTTGCAGTTTGGGCGATTGAAACCCAAAGGGAAAGGGTTTGTTCCGTGGGGACAGAGAAAGCTCTGCAGGATGCCCGAGACATTCTTAGTCGGCCTTTAGAATTCATTTGCTGGGGTTTGCAGTTTGGGTGATTGAAACCCAAATGTTTATAAGTTGAAACTCCTAGTCTAATTTATTTTTTCCTTTATTTTTTGGGGAGGTAGCTGACCCAAATAGTGACCACGAGAAGACAGAGTTTGTGAATTTGGTGCTGCTTTTTTCTGAATTCACTCGGCACGATGTTTTTTCCCATGATGCGTACATGTGCACTTTAATATCCCGTGGAGACTTGTCCATCACTGCGACTGCTCGACCACGTTCGCCTAACGGGGAAACTATGGATGAACACTATTCGAAGGATCATGATGTGAAACTGGAGGTAACGCTTCATGCTCTTTCTTCTGTCTCGGAACTCTGTTTTGTTAAACATAGATTTTCACCAAAGCATTGGTATTTCAGATAAGAGATTATAAGTTCTTTAATAGGTGTTTCCTTGCCTCTTTCTCTCTCTTTGAGAAAACTGAAAGCGATCCATTGGGTTCGTTCTTGCGCGTAGCTGTAAATAATCAATGGTTGGACTCGATGATCCCAAGGGTCTTTTCCAACCTGAATGATTCTATGATTCTATAAAAGATTTGCGGTTTTGGTGCAGATATAGGGAACTGACAGATCAGATGGGCAGTTTGTAACCTTTTCTAAGGCCTGTGCAGGGAAGCGCGGTTTTAAAATCCAGACTGTGGAGTACGTTTGCACTCGAGTGCTGATGGTGCCTGTTGTGCTGCTGCACAGTCTGTGCAGAACCTGAGCATCCTCTTGTGTTTCGCTGTAGTTTCTTTTGCGTGTCTCTTACATCAGTTTCATGGCCAAATTTGCCCCAAAATACAGGGAGTGTCTACAAATTGCTTTTTGTGGCACAGTAAAGTAGGAAATAGATCTTGGGAAGGTACAAGAGTCAGCTTCCCGTTGTGTCGGCGTCCCTGAAGCAGAACTGAGAACCAGGATACGCTGTTAAGTTTTGTTTTCCTCTCTGGCTCCTGCCCTTTTCTTTGCCCTTGTGGAATTAGGCTTGAGAAGTACTTCTGTGAATTAAGGCTTGTAATAAAAATTTAAAAGTTAGTATCTGAAAACTTTTTACCGTCAACACTTCTTTTGGGATTCTTAAATGGGCAGAGCGCTTGAGTTTACCTGTGATCAGTTAAATGGGTCTTAAATAAAATGTGACTGACGCTTGTTTTTCTCTCTGGCAATCCCCAGGATCACAGTGTTATGGAACATACGGGCATCGACTCAGGAACTGCTCATATTTTTGATGATGTAGACAAGGGCGATTTTAAGGCAGATTTTGGTTCGGAATTTCCAGTAGGTTTAACTTTGGATTTTCTGCATGCCTGCGATGCCTGTGGCTGGGGCTTGCTGTTTTCGCCCCCCCT